GATGTGTGATGCTTGAGTAGCGCCCGTTAAATAAATATTTAAATTGATTTTTTTGAAAATTTACTCTAATTTTTGAAAAATAATTCGGTTTTTTTTTTCTATGAAAATAACGGGGTGTTACATTGTGGTATCAGAGATAGGTTTACGTTTCTGTCGTCTTCTTCTGAATTTGTTTAAGTATTTATGTTTATGACCCATCCTTTCGTTCAGCCGCGCCAGCTCAAAGTATGAGTGTTGTTTAAATTATTTATGTTTATTTGGGGCTTATGAATTTATCCTGCTTTCTTTAATTTATTTGATCTTTAGTGGATGAGTCTCGTGCTAAAGTTTTGACTTGCCTTATAGAAAAGGGACCTCGTAGAGATCCACAGGCTCAGCAGGCTCCACCCGCTTAGGGTGAAGATGATGGCCGGACAATTGAGCGATTCCAGCACATGCATCTCTAACTTTTACTGGACTGGAGGGAGTAGCAACTTTGACGGAGTGGCTCCGTAAGCTGGAACGGAACTTCACTATTCTCTGATGCTTAGACGCCCAACACATCGAGTGTGTTGAGTTCCAGATGGAGGGTGATGCCTCCGACTGGTTGACTGATTATTGGGTTTTGAGGCCGGAGGCTGAGCGGACTGCCCTCACTTGGGTGAGGATGAAAGAGATCATTTCTGAAAAGTACATTCCCAAGAGCTATCGTGACCAGAAGGAACAGAAGTTCTGAGATCTCCGACAGGGTGCCACTACCGTTGACGAGTATGCTTGGGCCTTTACCCGGTTGGGAGCTTTTTCCCGGCACATGGTGGACACAGAAGAAAGAAAAGCTCGTAAGTTAAAAGACGGGCTTCTCCAGGACATCCGAGTCTTGGTGGCGAGCCATGGAGATCTTTCTTTTGCAGACACTGTTATCCGAGCATAACAGACTGAGAGTTGTATGACCCCGGTTGTCCCCGCCCCTTCATACCATCATGCCCCGACTATCCAGCAGCTATCATTGCTCAACCCCCATCTGGCTCAAACAAAAGGGGGAATGACCACCACCCAGATTGGAAGAGGAACAAACGTTGTGATAACAAAAAACGACCACAGTGAGTTCAGCCCATTCAACTGTTTCCAGAGGGTCAGCCGCGATGTGGGGCATGTGGCAGGGTTCATGCAACAGAAGATTGTTTCGCTGCCCAGAAGACGTGCTATAACTTCCAGCGACTCGGACATTTTGCCTGCATGTGCCAGGAGCCAAAGAGACAGAACCAGCGTGTTGGTCGTAACAGCAAACATCCTCACCCATCCTTCAGAAACCAAAGCACAGTCGATCCTCACCTTAACTCTGTGCCGCTCCCAAGTGAAGGGAGAACTATAACCAACGTCAATTAACACATAATCCGCCACCGCTTGAGCGAAATCCTAAATCTCCGTTGAACGGTTCGACTGAACACCAACGCACTCATTGGATGCATAAAGATGTTGAAATCACCACTGACCATCCACGCTAATCTCTCCATACTCTCATCGATCTCACGCATGGTGTTCCACAGACCGTAGCACCCGACCTCGCACACTTGGCAAAAACCTGAGTGTGAAATATGGCTTCAGGGAGATGGATAACAGAAAGCTCGATGTGCAGCACCTACTCGGTATCACGGATGACCCGAAAAGTATAGTCACTCGAGTGAAAAAATCAGATTTTCTTAGAGATGTTTCCCACGCCAAAGTGAAAACCAAGGCGACGTGAGTAGAAGTCAAAAGAATGGATGGGGTCATCGACTTGAGAAATGCTGCGAAGTTGAGCCTATGATCATGGACAAGGGAGTGGATATGAGTGAGGGTGGCCCTATTGGCTAGGCCATGGGCGTTCTATGTTAGGGAGCTGACTGACATATCAACTGTTGGAGGCGCCACCTGACTGGGTCCACCTGTGGCTAGGCTGAATCTGTCTACTAAAGTGGGGTAGTGTCTGACTGGCCGAGCACTCCATAATCCTGGATCTGGTGCGAGGTTGGCACTGGTTGGAGCTCTAAGTGTGCGTCCTTTCTACTGGTGTTTGTTTCAGATCAACGTCAACAGGCTGAGCACCGTTAAGAGCGCAGACCATCTCAGAGAGGGAAGAAGTTGAAGAGTTGGGCAGTGGGGGACTCCTGTCCTCAGCAGTGGGCTGAGTAACGACATTAGTTGTGCCCACAACCAAGTGCTCACTCTCGACAGAAAGAGTAGAAGTCGTCTCAGTCCCGGCCTAGGGATCAGTGATAGAATTGAGACGCGAGCCCTGAGATCTCTCCTCAGAGGCATCGTGCTCACTGGAAGAAGCCACGTCAAGAGAACTGTCATCTTAAAGAGGAATAAACTCATTGCTTACAGAAGTGTCAGGCTGGTCCGTCTCGTCGTCGAGGGGAAGACTAGCCGTATCTTCATATGGTCAAGTAAAGGAGGAGGGCTCCGCCTCTGTCTCGGAAGAGAGGACATCAAAAAAGAGTGGTTGGCCGTAGAGGCCTGCTGAAGAGTCTGAAGAGGGAATAAGGATGTGGAATTGGGCTAGTTAGGTTGAGCAGCCTTCTTGGTCTGGGCGGCGGTCTCCACAACAGCCTTACCTTTGTCCTTAGTCTCCTTTGGGGACTCAGGTGTGCGGGCATGGGCCTTAACCTTTCCCTTGGGATCCCCCGGAGCAGCTAAGGGGACGATGTGGCCGCACAACGACGCGATGGAAGCGATGGTCGGGTTTGTTGCCACTAGTGTACCAATCAGCCCCAATGTGACCCACGTGGTCACATAAGATGCAGTGTGGCAGGACCCTCTCGTAGACCACCTTTTAAGTGGTGATCGTCCCTGCCTGGTCGAGCTCGATCTCATGGAGGAGCTCACCATGGAGGTCTACCTCGACGCGCATGCGTGCAACGAATATCCTCGTCCGAGTGGCATTGGATGCATCAACCTCAATCGGGTTGTCGATGCAACTAGTAATTGAAAAGAGAATAGAAGGGTTATAAAGATGAGGACAAGACCAGAGAGATGACACCAGACTGGGGCGAGGGGTGCCTCAGTCGAGGGAGAAAAGTCAAGGGTGTATTTAAACACCCCAGCAGTGCACCTGCATACGATAACCGTCATCTTAAGCCACGCCGAATTATAATCATGAATCCTAGTGCATTTAACTTGGATGTTTTACAACCTTTAAAAGTCCAAATTATTAATTTGAGATTTTGAATAGTTTTACAAAGTTGTGGAGTATTCAATTTATTTATTGAGATTCTAAATGTAAAAATCATATACAAAATTACAAGTCGTAATCCATCCTTCAAATGTAAGACTTCTAAGGATTCACTTAAATTTTAAAATCTTTCAAAGCCTCGAATTACAAAAAAAAAAAAAAAGATTTAAATTATTACTGAAATTCCCAAACAATACATGGACTTTAAGAATATTTTTACGGATTTCATTAAAATAAAAATATATGAATTTAAAAAATATTAAAATGTCACTCAAAATCTAAATAAATACACGTAATTAAAAGAAGGAATCAAATTCTCTAAATAACATAAAAAAGCTAAAAAGAAAAAAAAGTAATAAATGTTAATTTGCTAACTAAGACTAATATTGACAAAAAAAAAAGCTTCTGAATATATGTTTTAAAATATAAAACATGTTTTAAAACATAAAATGACATATAAAAAGAATAGAAAAAAGAATAGAAAGGAATATATATTTCAAAAAATTTTAACGAGTAAAGTTTAAATAAAAGATATCAAAGTTTAATAAATGTAAAATATAATTTGGTATAGTATGCTCCACAGCTGTCAACACATTTATCAAGAAAATGATTTGTCTACACGCAAGTGTACACAAGTCATGCCACTCGCTCTCTCTATGGTACAATTGACGGGTCAACCACTAAACCGACATTAATTCACTCATAAATCCATATTTGTGTTCCGGACTAAGAACAAAATTTACCTTGATCCCCACTTGGCGCGTAGGATGTTTTTTTCTCAAGTATCACGATACAAGTATGAGGAATGAGGATAGTCATTTGCATTTCGTACACAATCTCTCATTTTTCTTCAGTTTCTTCTCCTCCCCAAGCTTTTGTGCAGTGGTAGGTGCGAAGCTGGACTGCCCCTGCGACCCCCGTTTTGAATTTGTTATGTGATCAGAGTTTCTTGCCACTAATAGTGTGTTTTGTAAAACTATTTTTGTTTTGTTTTTCAGTGTGGAGGAGATGGTGCATTTATCAATTTCGATTCAGCACAAGAATTGACGTTTTCTTGTCGTCGAACGGAGCACGGGTAGAAAGGTTATCTCTGTGGATCATTTCATTTTCATTGTCATTTGATTTGTGATTTTAGCATGTGTTCCATCCAGAACATTTCTGTTGCGCTTTCGAAATGCACGGGTTAAACCCTAGAGGGAGACATAGTAATCTATCTTTTTTTTGTGCAGTTGGAATGCTTTGTTTGAGTTTTGTTTATGTCTCTAGAATTTGCATGTGGGAATTTTGACTCCTAGCTGACTGGCAATTGGCTAGAATTTCGACTTCTGGTTTCATTCTCTAATTCTTAATTATGTTTTTTTTTTTTGTTTTTTTTTTCAGTGGTGGGGAATTTGTAAATTGCTCGATTTTGATTGAACAAGCGAAGATTGGTTTTGGACGGAGCACGTAAAGTAATTTTGTGGGGGATAATCTCATTCTGAGTGCCTGTGTGTGTGTTTAATTTTTTTCAACTAAAAATTTCTAGTATTCATGATTTATTTTGAATTTTCACAAATTTTAATGTTTTTTTTTTCCTTGACTTGAAAGACCGTTTTATCGATCAAAATGAAAGTTTAATGTCAAACATCCCTGTCATTTTATTTCTACTTTGCTTTCAACATGTGTTTCGTTGTTGGCATTTGTTTTTCATTTCTAAAATGCATGTATTTTTATGCTTATATCTCTCTCACTATTGGTGTCAATGATATATGTATTGGTCTATTGAACAGGTTGAGATTTTCTGCTCAATCAAAAGCCTAGGGGAAACATGGTAATTCTTTTCACTTCTAAAATGCATTTCATTATTTTTATTTTTCTTTCTAATGTCTATTGCTCATTTGCACATTTGTAGGACGGACATGTGTTTGGAGAAGATAGTGCCGATATTGATTGGAATACTGATGACGAAGTGGAAATTCTAGCAGGACCAGTGAATTCTTCTCAGCCCACTCTAACAGCTATGGGCAATGGGGAGGTAAAAAAGTTATGTACACCTGTTCTATTGGGTTTGAGTGCCTTTGATCTATGGTTCAATTTTGTAACTTCTTGTTTTTATGTGTAGGCAAGCACATCTGCAGGTGTTTCCCATGTGAGTTTGATCAACCATTTTGTTGGGATGGGGTTTTCAGAGAAACTGGTTGCCAAAGCCATTGAGGAAACCGGTTGGCAATTCTTTATATATTTATTTTAAATATTTGTTTATTGTTCAAAGACTCAATGTTGCAGGTAGTAGTGGTGCCTAATTTAACTGTTTTTCCTACAGGAGTAGGAGATACTGAAGCTATTCTCAATACCATTTTAACATTTGTGGTAAGAAACGTCCGGCTAGTACTCCCACGTGTAACTGGAATGTTTTTTGTTCTTTTGGAATTGGTAAAGGAGCTTATCCTTTTTTCCAATCCGTGGATGCTACTTAGGATGAACTGATCATTGTGTAACTGCATTTTGTGTGACCCAATTGTTTTATGTATCCACCTTAGGCTGTCATTCCCTCAAGTGAGCTTTTATCTTCTTTGATGGCTGAACCATCAATATACTGTATTAAAAATTGTTCTAGAAGTCACTAATTCAAGAGTCACACTTGCCATTGGATCAATGAGCTGATTGTGAATTCAAGATTTGAAACGTCCATATAATAAGACCATTGTCACTCAACATGTTATTTTAGATTGATTACTATTATTACAGGAAAATTAGTCTGATTACAATTTTCCTAGGTATCATCAGGCTTTGAACAGCTTTCTTTTGTTTGTTACTGGCTCCCAAATTACGATAACAAAAAAAGTACAACCTTATTTTTGCCTAGACACTTTTGGCTGTGCCATTGTAGAGCCCTGAAATAATGTCCTCAACAGGGTCAGAAAAACTTAGCGAATGATTGAATATGTTCTGAGATTGTCAGATTGATAACAGGGTCAGAAAAACTTAGCGATTGACTAAGTATGTCCTGAGATTGTCATATTAATAGTTTTCCATATCTGAGACACGTGTTGTGATTTATTCTGAAAAGTTTTAGAAAAAAAACTACACTGTTCACTTATCTCATGTTTTTTCTTCCACCAAAATTTAACCCACTTTTTGGAGAAACCTTCAATCATTATTACATATTTCTCTATACCTTTTATTATTCACCGCATTTTTTTTTTTTATTTATTTATTTTTTTCTATCAATCATATTGAATCATTTATGGCTTCCTTTCTGTTTTGCAGAGTCTTGAAGAATCTCCTGAGCAACCACAACAACCGTTGAGCATGACTTCTGATCCAAGCTCTTCGGACTATGACGACATGCTTGTTGATGAACTTTCAGATTCAGGCAACTGGTCTGAAAATGAAGTATGTCAATTAGTCCTATCATTTGCACCTCTATACTTTCATTTGCAGATGCATGCATGATATACTATTTCAATCAGTTGATAGCACTGTGCGTATTCTATCAAGTATCAAGTCATGCCGCATTAGTTTGTTGTGAAGCAAATACATCCTAACACGAATATATGCCATTTTTTTTTTCTTTTCCTGTTCTCGATTCTTTCTTTCTTTCGTTGTTTTTAGTGATATGGACGTATTGCCATGTAACGTGAACAATTTACTGCAAGTTGTCAAACGTGTATGTTGTGTATCCCTTGCCTCAGGTTAAAATTGCATTTGTTATCAGGAGTTCGTGACTTAACTTTCTTCCCCTTCTTTTCATATATTAAGCAAAACTTTTGATTTACACCATTGATTTTCTTCCTATCTACAAAATTACCATAGTGTGTGTAGATACCGCTTCAGAGTAACGAATGCATTTGATATCCCTGGTTAACTTTGTTCCGTCTCATTTTATTAAATGATTATTATCCTTGAGTTGTATTATGTATCTTCCTTTGAATCACTGAGTGTCCAATAGACCTGAAAGGTTGTTCCATCTTTAGTATTTGTTCTTCACGACATGATACCAGTTTTGTCAACGGCTTTGAATGAATCTGCTTTTTTCTCCCCCCCTTTATCAACAATTTGAGGGAACGTGTATCTGCTGACCAAGGAAAATGGAAACATTTTTAGATTCTGATAGCCTGACTGAATTTTAATCAGTTGATGCAGGAACTTCTTGTTGGTGCTCTGCATTGTCCGATTGTCCAAAACTTGAACTTTTGCTATTTTCTCATTGAGTTGGCTGACACTGAGCTTTGGTGTTTATTGAACTGTTCACTCTATAACAACCGTTAGTCATCAACCTATATTATTCTATACTGGCATGTGAGATTAGTTTAGCCCATTTTCTACTCGCGGCATATAGAACTGAGCCCGACATTTCTCTTGCAGGACAAACCTGCTATAGTGTCTGACGAGCACAAAAGGTTGTTAATGTTGGAAAATATGGGATCAATATCTGAGGAGGAGAAAAAACTGCTAGCCTTGGCAAACATGGGTTTCACAGTGGAAGAGGCAGCGATAGCCATGAAAAGATGTGGTGAGTGCACAAAAGGCTACTAACAATGTTTCTCATCATGCTCTCACCTTTGATTTACATCTTTCCCGCCTTGCCTGTTTCAAAAGTTCTTTTCATCTTTTTACCATGTCGTTTTTTTTAAGGCTCCGAAGAGCCAATCACTGTCTTGGTGGACTGCATATACGCTGCCCAAATGGTTCGAGAGTCAGACTGCTATATGCCAGAAGATGATCTCAAGGTTTAAATTTTTCCTACATCATTTTCTTAAATTTTTCCTTTATCATTTTCCAATAATAATATAAAGTTTAAAAAATTACCACAAATAGTCTGAAAAATTGAATGCAGTAATTGTATTAATAATAAGAAAATAAATGAATTTCACATCTATGGACTATGATCCGTGGTGATTATCATTTCCGTAAATATATATGTACTCTTTTGGATAATTTGGAACTTACATGGATAATTATCAAATTATTCAAATATGCGTTAAAATCACATGCCATATCAAATTACAGAAAAAATGATAAGCACTATAGTTAATCGTTTTCTTTTACTCATAAAAATGATTATGATAAATTTATGAAGGCAAAAACAATATTTACAAGCTATGTTTTTTCTAATATGCCAGTTGAATATTCCGCTAGTTAGAAACTATTATTTGATATTAAACGATATATGTGAAATCTTGTTTCAGAGAGATGTATTAATTCCGCATAAAAACAATATCATATTACTCGACTGTAGATAAGTTGCGTATAAAACGATAGAAAACGATTGAAGTAAAATAAGATTATAATTTTAAACCCTTCTATATGCATTAACCATTTGCGTTGCATGTAGCTGAAACATTTTGTTGCATTGTGTTATAAATTGAAACAGGTTTCATGTGTTGTTATCTATACACTGATAGTGCGTCTATTTTTTAAGATGAATTCATTGGGATGATATGAGAATGACATAGAATTATTATGGTGTGCTTTTAGACTTTTTCGAGAATATCATAGAACATTTTAGGTGATTTACACATGTTAACTGCGTTGAGAATGAAATATGTTAGGTGAACACATATTGTGTGTTTCAACATTTGTTAATTTTCATATAGCTAAGACATTTTAAAATGATACTGTAAGATGTGTTCGTGTAACCCCAAATGCAAAATATAAAATGCATTGCACCACTATTGCTACTGCTACTAAATCCAAATTCCACATCCCCACAGCCGAAGCGCATCGTTGGGATTGTAGGCAGCTGCAAAAAGAGAAAATACCACGAAACCATGAAGAAGAAAGATGTGGTCGAGGACCCCATCCGCCTGCCCAAGCCCATGATAGGCTTCGGCGTCCCATCAATCCAGCCCGAGCGCACGAGTTTCCGCAATTTGCCCGAAGTGGCGCGGGGCCCGCCCTACTTCTACTATGAGAACGTGGCCCTCGCTCCAAAGGGAGTCTGGGACAAAATATCCACGTTCTTATTCGAGGTCGAGCCGGAGTTTGTTGACTCCAAGTACTTCAGCGCC